AAACACCCAAGACGTTCGTCGCAATGTCACCCTTCCTAGTGCGGTATCTTGGCTTATCAGCTTGTAAGGGATTCACCTTGATGTATGTCCCATCCAGAGCTCCGAGACAATTCTAAAAAACAACGACAGCCAATTACAAGACAAGACAATATATTTGACAAATGATATTGTAAATTACACATCAAGACATTTGTCTTTTGAAACCCATACCTTGAACCACTTCCATTTGTCATCAGTTGAGTTTTCAAGAACGGGTTCAGGGCGTTTAAGTAGTACACTATGACACCTTAACACAGCCTGCAACACCTTGCTGAATTGTCTACTAATTGTTTCACCTGACCTCATAAACTGTCTTTTAATTATCCGACTTTTAATGTCATGAGCCAATATGTGAAGGAAGATTGCAACTTGCTCTTCTACCCCCATGTGTCTTGTTGGTTGAAGCATCCCAACAGTTTTCAATAAGTCACACAAATTATGAAAGCATCTCCTATCCATCCTTGTATTCTCAATACAAGCGGTGTCAGTAATATACATTATTCTATGCATATTAACTTCCCTGGTCGGAGCCCTACTGCAACAATCCCACTTAACTTTCCTCCTTGATCTTTTCCTTCTTTCCATATCAGCTAATAAAATACCATAAATTCTCACTAATAACATAGTGAGATGATTCAAAGATTGCAAATGACAAAGGATAACAATAACGACACTCAACTCCATTGCTTTGGTCATTGCCTCAATCTAACACAACAAGGTTAAAGTAATTAACATTAATCCAACAATGATGAACGAAGTAAAAGTATAAGAACACAATGAATAATACAAGAATTAGAGGGCATAAGGTTATAAACCAAACTAATGGTCATGACTGTAGGGTACTATTAAACTCTACGATGCTTAATGTATGATACAAAAACTCCACCTAGATATCATCAATTTGAGAAACTCAACTTCAGGGTTGAAAAAAGCATGGGCAGATTGGAGGCAACAAACAATCAGCCTCCACACTCCATGCAATTAATAAAAAAGGCTTTGTTGTTCCACTTCATGCTGATTTTAATATAACACTTCCATTTAATATATATCCTTGACCACAACTACGATCACATGGGTTTGCCAATATAAATATTTCACCTTCGGTCAAATAACTTTTAAAGCTGAATAAATGGTCTTCCACAGGTATACCATTTCACGAAAAGTTCATAAAAAACCTCCTCGCTTGCTTTACGTAGCAGTAGCATTTGTAGTGATCCAGTTCCATTAATTAACTCACTATTATTCATCTCAAATATTTCATTACTTCGTTGGCTTTTATTGTTGTTTATGAGCTAATTGTCTGTTTATGTTCATTAGTTTTATGTCATTTGTTCATTAGTTTCTTGGCTTCGAGGGAACTGCATAAACCCCATTTCTAAAAGGTCAATGATGCAGACTCCCCAAAAAAATGTTTTGTTGTTTTAGCCTTTTTGGCCATAGGTATCCTTCTTTTATTTGGGTGTCTGGAGAGGGATACAAGAATAAAAGGAATAGTGACATATTATCCATGAGTTTTTGAGTTCAAAAAAATATTTATTCTCCAATTTCAAACAGTTTGGCAAATCTGAAGAGAGATTGGTTGGACTGGGTATACAGATTAAACAGTAGCAACCCATTGACAACAACAGAGGAGTATCACAAAACTTACATTTCTAAAAAACTATATATTACCAACCACAACCCAAATATCTCCAATTTTTTTTTATCATCACACGATAAAATCATTGTAGTCAAATTGGAAGTGTCATTATTTTACCTCAGTTATCTCACTTGCGAGTCCTTTGTGGAGAAAGCAAACAAATACCTCAGCACCTTCAACCGCTTCTACTTCGGAACATGAAAGAAGGGATCAGTGAGCAAACCAATGAAACAAGTCAGTCATAAATAGCAAAATGCAAAATGCAGCTCAGTTAGGGTTTCGAATATATCACAACCACTAAACCCACCTTCAACAAAATGCAAAATGCACATTCAAAAGCAAATAAAATCAAAAGGCCAACACAAATACCCACATCCTCACTCACATGCAAGGAAGAAGCTCAGCTAGGACAACAGAAAATGGAGGGAGAAATTGCACAACCACAAACTGCCTTTCTCCTTTTTCCACGAAACGTGCACTCCACCATATATATTGTCAATCCACCATCTAATCTTTCTGTACAAAAGTGGGGTTATTTTGGTAATCATTTTCGCGCTCGAGGATTCACTTCCCCGGGTAACAGTGAATCCTATATTTTCGATGGACAACTTCTCTCATCACTTTCCCATTAAATCACACAAAAAACAAAAAAATAGGACAATGAGATATCCGGCAAACTTGCGCTTTATCTGCAACCAAACATGGGTAAACCATGTTGCCGATCTCCCTATCCCAGGCAAACAAAAATAATCTGCGTACCAAACGCACCCCTAGGGATGAATTTCTTCGACCATGCTTGCTTGCTTGGTCTTCGCCCCCAACTCTCCCTTTATCTTACTTCTTTACACTTTTTTTTTTCCCAATAAACATTCATCTTTCCACTTTATTCTTTCATATTTTCACACCAAATCTAGCATGCAAAAAATTTATTAAGCTTATACTAATAAATATTTAATATTTTTATGATCAAAATACTTTAATATTTGATAAAAGGGTATTTTTTATTTTAAAAAAAGTATTTGTGAATAGTGAGACTAAAATTTAAGCAAAGCATCAAATAATTTTTAAAGTACCACCAGGCTGCATTCATTTCTAGAAGAAGATGGGTAATTTCTCACCAAAAGAAATTCAAATTAAAGGTTAACAGGCACTGCGTAAAAGATCATGTGAACAAGATGGCTATAATTATAAGTAACCTAAATTTTTTGAGCAAAAGAAAATGAGGCACTGAAAAATAGTTTTCTTCGGAATTCTGTGGAGCATTGTTGCACTTTCTACCCCTTGGAGCTACTAGCCTTGTGGGCATAAAGAAGATTCTTTGGCTGATTTATCATAGATAAGTATCGATACATTTAGAAATTTTAATCACGATGACAAACATAGTAACAACTGAGTCAGAATACCAATAGAGACGTGCTTATTAATTATTAAAATCAACATTGGACAGCCCATTTCATGCCTATTTAGTCTTTTGAGTTTTATAAAAGTTATGTTGTAGAAAAAATGATTTTGCTATGTTATAGAGATTCGTTTTGCGTGCCGTAATTTTTTTTTTTGCTTCAAAAAATACGGACTTCACAAAATATTGTGTGTGTAGATTTTTTTTTTGATCATGTTGTATGATAAATACAAACCCCTTAGTCTTTATCATGGGTTGCAAGTTCATAAAAAGCAGAAGCCAACAAAGGAAAAGAAAAATGACATCTCGATCTATTGTGAATTTTATTCCACAAATTCACGAAACCTCATTCCTTATTTTATATTTTCATGGAATAGGATTTAATACTTAACTTTTAATATTTGTAAAATATTCTCACTGTTTTTCTAACTTATTTCCCTATCAATATTTTGTTTGATGATTTTTTAGCCTAATCTTAATTTTTTATCTAAATTTTCAAGTTCTGTTTATAATTATAGACTATTACACATTTCAAACTGACGGAAGTCAATCACGGAACTGATTTTTAAGTTTTTATATTAAAAAAAGGGTTTGTTTTTTCTGATGTTACTTTAGATAACTTTATCTAATGTTCATCAAAACGACGTCGTTTTGAGACGAAAATCATGGTATTTTTGTAATTTTAATTTATTTCAGGGTTATAATAGTCTTTATCACTCTAATTTTTTACTTTTTCAACCCCAAAACGACGTCGTTTCGATGAACATTAGATAAAGTTATCTAAAGTAACATCGGAAACTTTTTTCCCTTAAAAAAATTATATTTACAATTTTTTATAATATATTTTATATTTATTTTTATAATTATTGGATTAAAATCAAATCAATAATTACAAAATAACATTAAATGAGAATTACGGCCAGTTTGGTGTGATGTATAAGACTTGATAGTATAAGGTTATACTATACGTTATGAAATTTTAAGTTATTTGGTGTGACCATCATATAGTATAAACTTATACAGCAGAACCCCTTAATACATCAAAATGATGTATAACTTAATCAGGCCTGATAAATGATTGATGTATTAATATTGCTTATAAGTACAATTCTCAAGAATTAATATATCATTTCAATATTAATATATTAAAATAAATTTTTTAATATATTATTTTTATAAAATATTGGAGGATATTATCTTAAACAATATCATAACAAACGTTGGATAATATTAAAATTTAATCAGTTCTTATACTATCAGGCCTTATCTTATACTATGTACCAAACATTTGATTTAATTTTAATCCAACAACCATAAGAATGATCGTAAAAGGTGGTAAGGGAAAATAGACAATAAATATAACCTCTCCCATTTTTTATAACCATTTTTTATGTTAAATAAAATGAAATTAATGGATCTCAATTTATGTTTTTTATTTTTTTGTAATCGTTGGTTTGATTTTAATTAAATAATAAAAAATAATTATAAAAATTTATAAAAAATGTATAAATATAAGGAGAGGTTATAGTTACTATTTTTTTTTAGTATCTTTTATTACTAAATCTTAACCGTTGATTTTTGTTAATATAACGTAACGATTGTAATTTTATTAATTTTTAATAAATTATAATCGTTAGATTGACGGTAATCAACGGTTAAGATTTGATAATAAGAGATAGTAAGAAAAAGAGATAATAACTATAATCTCTCGTGTAAATATAATTTAAAAAAATGGTATAGCTTTATGCTACTGTTACATAAAATGCAAGTTTAATGTTTTTACGATGATGACTAAAGAGGTCTAATGATTGGAGAACATATCTAATCTAACCATCCTTTGGTTGATGCTGCTATGTCTTTGAAATTTGAAAATGGAAATCATCAATCATACTGTTTTCAACAAAGAAAGATATTTTATTAGATTTATTCATTTACTTTATAGTTTTCATGTATAATGAAAAAGACGTGCCCCCGGAGAGAAGGTTTCGTGCCGTTAACAAAGTTCAAAACGCCTTCCGCAACGCTACATAGACAAACGACGTCGTTACGAACCTGCCACCGACCACCGCCTTCAGCTACGACGGTGAATCCTTTTCTCTCTCTCTATTTTTAACAACATTTGTGTGCAGCCACTCCTATTTGTAAACCCCTTCTCACGAATCCCTACATTCGTGACACCTTGTTCCCTTTGTATCGCCGAGACCCAACCACCCAACCTAATTCCAAAAAGACCTAATTTTTACAGTCGCGATAGCTACCCAATAACTTTTTATAATCTGGGTCGAACCCATTTCGATTTGCAGTTACTGGGTCGGGTAATCGTGGGTATTTGGAACGGGGATCTTATGGTTGAGAAGAATGGAAGAAATTGAAGGGTTGAATTGTTGTGGTGAAAGTAGGAGCTCTAGTGAGAGTCGACCTCCCAATCCAAACCCACCAAGCCAATGCCACAGCACTGATCCTTTGGTGCGGCCATGCAAGAATTCCCTTGTTCGCCACCATTCTCTTGTAAGTTTCTCACCTCTCAAAAAATTATTTATTTTCCCCCCTCAAGATTAGATTTATTTTTATATATAAAAAAGTGGTAGATTCACTGTGCTTATGGTGTTAGTGTGCTTATCTTTTTTGGACGGACATAGAATAATTTATTCTGTTGTTGTTAGAACAGGAGCTATTAAATTCCTTAAAGTGATTCTATCTATATTTGTAAGTTTTTGGCATCATTCCTTTTTCTTTCCATTTGTCATTTTGATGCTGTGAGTGTTTTTGGAAAGTTGTAGCAAAGGAAAACTGTTGAGTCTTATGTGCAAGTATTTTTAGCTTTTGGTTTTTCTCTCTCTCTCTCTCTCTTAAGTCTAGGATTAGGATAGAAGGAAATTCTGTTGGGAAAAAGAAATGTTAAACAACGATGTGAGATCGTGGAAGCAGCGAATTAGATAAAAACATCATGTAAAATCTGGAAAAGATTGCGCTTTATTCCTTCTTGTGAGGAACAATTGGGGTTTTTTATTTTTTCAATAGCAGGAACAGGCATTTAGCAATTTAGATGGGCACTACAAGATGTGCTAACCTGCTGGGGATCTTCGTTTTGTTCATCTTATCCTAATTAGTTTTAGGGAAATGTTATACTTACTATCTTTTTTTTATCTCTTATTACTAAATCTATCTTAACCGTTGATTTCTGCCAATCTAACAATTATAATTTATTAGGAATTAATAAGTGTGACCCAATAAATTATAAACGTTAGATTGACAGAAATCAATGGTTAAGATTTGATAGTAAGAAAAAAAGGTAGTAAGTATAACCTCTTCCGTAGTTTTATTGTTGACGTAGTTTATACAGCCTTGTCATTGGTTATTAATGACTGCTGTTAGTGGTGTTAATTTTGGAGTTCAAGTTTCCACTGAAAAAGTTAAACTTTTTTAATTTTTTTTTTCATTTTTTGATGTGTTCTTTTCTGATTTTTTATGGTGATAAGCAGATGAAAACAAAGTTGTCTGATGTATTAGCTGAGCCAGGACATGTATCTGAAGATTTTCTGTCTGATTTCCTCCCAATGCTTCGTTCTGGAGCATGTGCTGATATTGGATTCCGGTCAAGTATGGAAGATGTATATGTTTGTGCTGACAACTTTATTGAGGATTACGGGCTCAAGAACAATATAGATGGACCCAGTGCTTTTTATGGGGTATATCCCTACTCTTGGCGGTAACTTGATTGGAGTACTGATTATTGTGTGCATGAATTTTAGTTTTTCCGTGTTTTTTTTATTCATTGTCATCCTCATGCGCCATTATTTTCTTTTTTATTTCTTTCTTTCATTTTGTCTTCTGTCACCCTTATGTTATCCACATCTGATGACGTCTGTTTGGAAGTTCTTTGCAAATCCCATCACATGCTAATGTTCTCTGGTAATAATGTGTTGCTTTACCAATGTCATGGACCCATGCATGTAAATTCATTTTACACATGTTATCAAAAAAAAAAAAAATTCATTTTACACAAACCATGCAGGGTCATGGAGTTTGTACGGCTGACAAGAATAGAGAAATTTGTGTATGTTGCTTGCATTTGTTTGTAAACTGTTTGTGGTAAGTCAGGTAACATCACATGCCAATGGCTTTGTCAGGTATTTGATGGGCATGGTGGAAAGCATGCTGCTGACTTTGCTTGTCATCATTTGCCGAAGTTCATTCTTGAGGTTGAAGATTTCCCAAGAGATATTGAAAGGATATTTGCTTCAGCATTTCTGCAAACAGACAATGCCTTTGCAGAAGCTTGCTCTCTGGATGCTGCCCTTGCATCTGGCACCACTGCATTGGCTGCTCTTGTTATTGGAAGGTCAGGGTTTTGACTTTCATTATTCAGTAATGTGGGTGCACATTATATTTTTTCAAATAGTGCCAAAAGCCCGAAAGTATGTTATTTGTTCATCTTTGAGTAAGTTTCCACCTTTTTTGAGTAAGTACAAAATCCAGAAATCATCAGAATGAGGTTCAAGAGCATTTTGGCTTGTCACAAAAGTTGGTCCATATTTCCAATTTTATTCTCCTTCAACATAAAACAGATGTGACATCAACTACATATGTTTGATTGGATGCATGTTGATTATAGTTTCTTATTCCAGGTTGCTAGTGGTGGCAAATGCTGGAGATTGTCGAGCAGTGCTGTGCCGTCGTGGAAAAGCAATTGAAATGTCAAGAGATCATAAACCGATTTGCAGCAAAGAGAAGAAGCGTATAGAGGCATCTGGGGGATATGTCTATGACGGTTATCTTAATGGACAACTTAATGTTGCTCGCGCTCTTGGTGACTGGCACATGGAAGGAATGAAAAGCAGAGATGGTGGACCACTCAGTGCAGAACCTGAACTCATGACTTCAAAGCTCACTGCTGAGGATGAATTTCTCATCATGGGTAGCGATGGGATTTGGGAAGTATTTAGGAGCCAAAATGCAGTGGATTTTGCTCGGCGCAGGCTTCAGGAGCATAACAACCCAGTCATGTGTAGTAAAGATCTGGTTGATGAGGCTTTAAAGAGAAAGAGCGGAGACAATTTAGCTGCTGTTGTGGTTTGCTTCCAGCAGCAGCCTCCACCTAACTTGGTGGCACCGCGCTCTAGAGTACACAGGAGCTTCTCTGCTGAAGGTTTGAAAGAGTTGCAAAGCTTCCTGGACGACTTGGGTAATTGAGTTGGCACAAGTCCTTTTGGTTCAATTTTCTTTTTGTAGACCTTTTGGTTCCCTCTTGTTCAATTTTCCTTTTGTAGTCCTTTTGGTACCTTTTGGTTCAGTTTTCTTTTTGTAGTCCTTTTGGTTCCCTCTTGTTCAATTTTCCTTTTGGTTACCTCTGAGAATTAACATTCATTTGTAATTGTAGGTGTAGGCTGAGAGAAAACTTAGACTGTAACATATGCGGCATCTAGTCTACATTTAATTTAGTCATTTGGTCATTGGCGATGTAGAGTTACTGGCCCTGCTTCATTCTTATTATGTTTTTGCATAAACAAAGCCAATCAATACGTAGCTTCAGCGCTCGTTTGTGATTAGAGACTATGAGGGGCACTATCATGTTGGGATCTCATCAGGCGTATCCTTGTGTTTGTAGCTTGGGTGTCTATTGGGAGATGATGTTTAGAAGGCACATTCTTGTAAGGGATAAGATATTTCTAGTAATTATGTTTATGTATTTGTACAATCTATACCATTATCCAATAGCTTTAACGAGAAATTTAAAGAAAAAATAATAGTAAGTCCTTGTGAAGAAAAATTACTTAAAACAAGAAGTTACTTTCAAAAAGTGTATTTCAATTTAATATATAATTGTTCATCAAATTATTTAACATTTGATTCCAGTTTTTCCCCCTTTGAATTTAAGTGTTTGTATTTTTCAATTGAATCCTTTCCCTGGTTAATTCCATGCCGGATTTTGATTAAGAGCAGTAGTTTCTTAGGGGCAAAAAAATAAAAATAAAAATAAAAATACAAGGACATTAATAGTTATTCAAATGATTTTTTTTACATCCATTATTAACCTAAGTATTTAATTTTGAGCCAATGATCACATTGTTGTATGATGATTGTCAACCAAATCGATTAAATGGAATCAATTTGATCAAAATGATCCCCTGAATTCTTCTCTTTGCTTTTGTTGGCTTTTCATCTATTCCTTTCATTGGTCTCCTTTTATGTTCATTCGTACTTAATTTTGTCACTAGAGGCGATATTCACATTCCCATAGGCCATGGACCAATTATTGAGATTCCCAAAATAAGAAAAATACAATGAAGAGGGTATGGTGATATATATATATATATATATATATATATATATATATATATATATATATTAAAGTTTTATGAATAAATAGTAAAAAATAATTGTCTATATGAAAAAGAATACAATAAGAATGAAAGCGCATGCAGAAATGACTTTCCATTTTGCACAACAAAGGAGAGTTGTATCAACGTTTCTATGTATCCTTGTAATTCAACAAAATTCTGTAATTTGATAATTCATTTACAAGTTGTGTAAAACACTCATCTCTTTTGGAAATTGAATGTCTTAATTGAAAAGGCAAAAATAAATCCAAAGAGCAGTGAAAAACCAACAAGCACAGCCGCAGCAATGCCTATGAAATCATATCTATACCCAAAATAACTCGAAACAAACTCTTCCACAGTGTCTCCATTCTCCATATATTCTTTTATATCCCCAAATTGTGAAGTAACCAATCCATATAGTGTCCAAGAAACAGGACAAATCCAAAAGTACCATCTCCACCATACTGGCATCCTCTGTTACATATCAAGATTTTAACCTTTGTGAGTTATATTGTCTACAAGTACATTGGTCTAATATTAAAATGAAGCTAAAGGGACATTGGAACTTACACTTCTTGGAATGACAAATCCTGAGAAAAGGTTCCATATCAAGTAGAACCCAATTGAAACTATAGCAGCAATGTTGGGATCCGGGGTAGCACCAACAGCCATCATCCCATATAAGGTAAAGTATAAAAAGCTGAAGAACATGAAGAGGATATACCAAAAGAACTTGGTAGGAGTCCAATCAAATCCAATCATAGCATACACTATAACCCCATATACGAGGGTCTGTATGAGTACGTATGGGATCTCAATGGCAACCTGAATATTTCAAATGAAGAAAGTTGGTTAAAATTTTCTCATAAGTAAACAGTTCTATTTTCATTCAACTTCATAATTAGTGTTAATTAATAGTTAATATTCCTTAGTTATTACATGAGCAACTTGATGCATACCTGTCCAAATGCATAAGGCAAAGCTGAGTACATCCCAGCAGCTTTTTCTCTATAGAAAACTGTTCTCTCAATGGCTACAACTGGCTGCACAGATGTAGCATTTTGTACCCCAATGAAGAGGACTGCAGCGTACATGGATCCCATTGCATTAAATAGATCTTGTTTTCTATACCTGCATTTAGAAGAATATATAAATAATGGTCACAAAAAATGAACTCAGAAACGAGGCTAAAGAAATTAGGGATATTAGTTGTGTAAAGAACCAATTCAACCCAAAAACTTAAACTATTGAGTGAGGCTACATTAATGGTTTTATATATCTCAACACGCCCCCTCATACGAGAGCCCACTGGACTTGAAGGGTGGACAATGCACAGGCCCACCTACCTAAGAAATTTCACTAGAAAGAAAGTGGGAGGCGGTGAGAATCGAACCTGATACACCGAGGCTCTGATACCATGTAAAGAACCAATTCAACCCAAAAGTTTAAGCTATTGGGTGAGGCTAAATTAATGGTTTTATATATCTCAACAGGTTTCATTGTGGTACCTTTTGGAGCCAATATCCCAAAATATTGTCCCGAACAACAAAGCTATGAATGTTGTGAACAAGAGTCTCACTGCACTATATGGAGGATTTCGCCAGTATGATAGATGCTGTTTCCAAAGGCAAGCCATACATTGGGTGAAGAAAGACATTGAGTACTTTGTGGGGAAGTACAACTCTTCAGAACCCGCTGGAGGTGTACTATGTTCCCTGATCAAGTCCTTGTTTCTCCTGAATGTAATTGTGCAATATTGATTAACCATAGAAAAGCATATTAACAGTAACAAATGCTTAAGACAAGAGTCTTCTTCCAAACATCTGAATCAAGTTTTCCATTGTGGATTTCTAATGATATTACATGGAATTTTCTTAAGTTGTTCCTACCTATATAGGTCGGAATTCTTGTATATTGCTGCGAAGTTAACTCCAAGAGCTGCTTCTTGTGCTTCTGAAGTAACCTCCAACATCCAAGTGGCAGGATTATAACCATTCTTAATTTTTGGCACTCCATTAATTCCCTACACCAAGCACAGCTTACTTTGATGAACAAACTGATTGATAATATAGAACTATTTAGTTACTTATTACTAACTAGAGATAGCACTGACCTCAAAGTAATTGATAAGGTGAGAACACTGCTGGCCTAAAGGCCCCACATATATTTCCTCACCTCCACGCTTCAAGAGAAGTAGCTGTAACAATACAACATAGATGTTCAGCATTGAGACCACTCAATTTTTGTGGAGCAAGTTAGAAAAAGGAAAAGGGTCTCTGACCTCATCAAAAGCATCAAATATATCAATGCTAGGCTGGTGGATTGTACACACCACAGTTCTCCCTGTATCCACTGTATTCCTCACTGTTCTCATTACTATAGCAGCAGCTCTTGCATCAAGGCCAGAGGTAGGTTCATCCATGAATATAATAGATGGATTAGCAACAAGTTCAACAGCAATTGTTAACCTCTTGCGCTGCTCCGTGGACAGACCATCAACTCCAGGCAATCCAACCAGGGCTTCTCTTAATGGAGTTAGCTCCACCAGCTCCATAACTTCCTCAATGAACATCTACAACAATCAATAGGAGCTTTAGGCAAATGACATTAAATTGGACAATTGGAAGAAGGTACAATGTCATGTGTGGTGTGTTAGTATACCATGACCTAATTCACAAAGTAAAAGAGAAACCAAAACCTGACAGGCTTTACCTGTCTGGTGGAAGAATCAACCTCAGGGGGTAACCGGAGCCATGCAGAATAAACCAAAGACTCATAGACTGTAATATGTGGAGAGTGGATATCAGTCTGCTCACAATATCCTGATATGCGAGCAAAGGTTTCTTGCTTTTTAGGGTAACCGGATATAGTGATTTGCCCTTGAATATATCCTGCTGTTTTTCTTCCAGACAACACGTCCATTAGAGTCGTTTTACCAGCACCACTTACACCCATTAGAGCTGTCAAAACTCCTGGTCTAAAAGCTCCATTAACACCCTTCAAAAGTTCAAGTCGATCTTGAAGAATGCCTTGGTTCTTCATTTCCTGCAAGCATAAAGGGAAATGAATCAGGATCCACTTCCAGGGAACCATTAGAAATATATCAAAGAGGAAGACTGCAAATGGCTCTCGCATTTTATGCTTGTTTAATTCTAAAGTGTTATGTAACCTTCATTATGCCAATATAGTATGCTATGGAGTGCATATAGGGTGACTTGTTCTAATGCTCTATTACAGAAAAGGCCACTACTACATTTCAAGTTAATGATTCGTTTTCTGAAGTCAATTTTTGTACCTGTGGCATGTCCACTGCATAACTGATTTCATCAAAAGTGATAGAAAGGGGTGTGAAAGGAAGAACCATCCCTCGCTTCCTGTTGTCATCAGCTGCACTAATGCTTCCCACTCTTGCTGACAGTGTTCTAGAGGACAAACTTCTTCGACTTTCATTCCCTTTATCTGCATTGAAATTATAGTGAACATCTTACACTGCATGAAAATGTGAAGTTAAAATAGGAATAGAAAGTGAGTGAACTTGTAACCAACCGGAAGGAACTTCAAATGTAGACGACAGTTCAATGATCTGTTCGTTTCTTCCAGCATTTCTCTCAGCTAAGGATTCTTCTGATATTAAAGCTTGGGGTTTATCAAATGCTGCAGCAAAATGTTTCAATTGTTAGAGCACTGCTTCAATTTCACATATGGCACATGTATAGGATACTTATACAGTACTTACGGTCAAGATAATGTAAGGCCAATGGGAAAAGTAAGTTGAATAGTAACATGTATCCAATGGAAGCTCCAACTCCAATCCAATACCAGTATGCTTCAGGGAAAATCCCACGTGCCTTCAAGACCTGTATTCCTAATGGTTCTGTTGAATTAGGTGGAACCTGCAATGCAATAAATATTCACATTTATCAAACACTGATCAAGACTGTTCACTAGTTATATATTTGTATTCTTATACATGTTTCATTCATGGGAATGTGATTGTATCGCTTACATGTGACCAACTCTTTCCAAGGAATTCATTCACAGCTATAGCATTCTGTCCATACATCATGGGAGAGACCCAATAACCCCATAACCACCACTTCTTCACATCAACTGAAGCAAAAAGAACGTAGTTTCTGTAAGATTTTGATATCAAAATACCTTGAAACAAGCAATAGGCATATTTGAGAATAAACTGCACTAACACTTCACCTCTGGATAGGATGAATCCACCCATGACCATAACTGCAAGTAAAGCAAATGATCCAACTGTGTTTGCGACAATAATGTTCCTCCCAACTGCACCCATAAATCGAA